AAAATAAAAGGGAGGGGCCTGATTGATTTCCAAAATCTCAATTTTCCAGACATGTCGGATAAGTTCATGGTCAACGACAACTTCCAATCGAAGCTGACACATGTCAAAGTGCAGTTGGTGTCTAGAAACGTGGAATCGGAGCCGGAAATTAAGGAGACACGTCAGAAGGTAGATGATCATCCTTCTTCAGATGACAGAAAGCTGGAGGTCGAGGCGGCAATCGTTAGAATTATGAAGGCCAGAAAGCGATTGAATCATAATAATCTGGTCACAGAGGTAATTAGTCTTTCTGCTGAGTCACCTCTCCCAAATTAAACTTTTCTAGGTCACCCAACAACTCCGACACCGTTTCATGCCCTTCCAAACGATTATCAAGCAGAGAATCGAGATTTTGATCGAAAGAGAGTTTTTGCAACGAGACGAACATGATCGCCGCTCCTATTCTTACATAGCTTAACTCTCTCTTTCTCTCGTGTACTTTTTTTAATGTCTACTCCCTATTCCCTACTTCATTTTTCCCCTGGTTTCTCGTTTTTTCCAATGAACAAAACAGTGAATGTATCGATTTTATGGGGTTATTCAGGTAGGTAAAATACTGGCAAAAAACCAGGTACTTTACCCGTATAGCTTATTCAGTAAACAGGTAAACAACCCCTTTCCGGAGGTTTTTTTCTTCTTTGAACAGCACGGTCACCCAAATTGCGTCGAGATCTTGTTTTATAAATCTGCGCGACTTCAGGCTGGTGTCGATTTACGAGATTTTCTATATTCAAAATAAGATTTTTCGTTTTCTTTCGGCTGGATTTAGGTTTTATTCTGGATTTCTTACAAAATATTTAGAAAAAATTGGAGTAGTTTCGTTTAAAATGAAATTCATCGATTCAGAAGGTAATCCTTTAACGCCGTTCTCTGTTGTTCCGGAGTGCGGTACGGATCAGGGTAAATCTGTATGCCGGAATCTGAAGAAGAGGTTTTCTATTTTAACCCGAGATGCTAAATAATCTTGTTAAATCGGATATGATCAGATCATAGCCATTTCCAGAGTTATCATATGTCGATTCCCCATTTTTTTACCAGTTTCTATATTCCGTCGGTTCTTTTTTGTAGCACTTCTCATTCCTAGTACACCCCGTCATCATCGTCCTCGACGTCCCATCTACCCTGCATTCTACAGCAATTGCCTAATCTAGACAAATGTGACCACCTCATTTCTTTGTTCCTTATGCTCTCTCGCAATCCCAGAAGGGACATCATGCAAACAAAGACAGAGACTCTCATCGGGACCCCGGGCGACGTTCTCACCCAAACATCCATTCAAGGTGTTCCTCACAATCGATCGGCTCAGTCATTTTTCCAATAGCTCGCATCAGTAGGTGCACATCCTTTCCTTTCTAAATCTTAAGGTCTTTTTTTCTGAATACCTTTTTTTCTTTTATTTGTTTTCTATTCCGCGGATGCAACCAACTTTTGATCATTTTTCGTTCAAGTTTTCCTAAAATCCTAATTTTTGTCCAACGTTTTTCCAAACACCACCATATCCACTTTTTCCAAACGCTGAAAAACGATCCGAGGCTCGCCTAACTTTTGTACTGTTCGTCCCCAAATGTATATATCTTTTTAAACTTTCATTTTATCTTGCATTACTTTTCTATTTTCTCAAATACCCAAAAAACTCAATCCTTGGGGCTCGTCTTCATTGAGGTCATTTTGTATTGAATGAGACGGACGTCATCTCTGCATTTCTTCTAATCTCTCACATTCCCATGATCAAACATAGACAGTCTCACACTCCCATGGCGACGAAGGACGACATTCTCACCAGAACAGAAACATCTGCAACGCCCATCCAAAACATTAATCCCAATCTATCGCCACTCAGTCATTCCATCGAAAATCTACTTCTTACTAAGGAAACTTTTCTGTGTGTGTGTGTGTGTGTCCGTCTCGGACATTTACTTGAATAACTCCAAAGGGCATGGGACTCCTATAATGGTGTGTGGTATGTAGCCATGGACTACCGAGCGCTTCATGTCTATGGTGTACTGGGCCTTCTAGCTAATAGGGAACCTATTATGCTTGTCTGAGAAAAAAAAGGTTGAGACGCAAACAAAAAGTGTCTGCGTCTTCACCGTCTGTGTGCTATTTATGCTCTGCGCTTCGATATCGCTACCGTATTCAGACTGCAAAAAAACTCTCTAACCTTTTTTTTCTCAGACAAGCATAATATAGGGTTGAGAATCGAAATTTTCAAAATTATGCTCAAACTCAATAAAACATCACGAAATTTTGCAAAACGGTGACCTATCTATGTGCTGCCGACATAGAATTGAGCACAAATCTTCAAAACTGAAATTTTTTGTTTTTTTCGTTTTTTTTTCGTATATCACTTAAATTTCAATCCTGTGGACTACTGAAAATGGGTCATAGTAGTTTTCTTTTGAATACAAGGTTCTTAAGTTATGCGGAAAATTCTAAAACATTCCAGAAAGTTACTGAAAATTCTAGAAAATTCCAGAAAATTCTAGAAAGTCCCTGAACATTCTAGAACATTCCAGAAAAAAATTTTAGAACATTCTAGAAACATCCAAATGGTTCCAGAACATTCCAGACAGTTCCAGAACTTTCCAGAACATTCTAGAAAAATCCATAAAATTTCAGAAAATTCCAGAAAGTTTCAGAAAACTTCAGAAAATTCCAGAAAATTCTAGAAAGCCCCTGAACATTCTAGAACATTCCAGAAAATTCCATAAAATTCTGAAAAAATCCGAAAAGTTCTAGAAAATTCCAGTAAGTTCCAGAAAGTTCCAGAAAACTTCAGAAAATTCCAGAAAATTCTAGAAAGTTCCTGAACATTTTAAAACATTCCAGAAAAAATTTTTAAACATTCTAGAAAAATCCAGAAAGTTCCAGAACATTCTAGAACATGCTAGAAAATTCCAGAACATTCTGAAAAAATCCGAAAAGTTCTAGAAAGTTCCCGAAAGTTCACGAAATTCCAGAAAACTCCAAAACATTTTAGAAAATGTCAAAACATTCTGGAACATTTCAGAAAGTTCCTAAACGTTTTAGAAAATTCCAGAACATTCTAGAAAGTTTGCAGGGAAATTCCAGAAAAATTGAGAAGATTCAAGAAATTCCAGAAAACTCTAAGACATTCTAGAAAGTACCAAAAAATTCTTGAAAGTTCCAGAACATTCTAAAAAATCTCGAAATTTCGAGAACATTCTAGAAAGCTCCAGGACATTCCAGAAAACTCCAAAAGACCCAAAACATTCATGAAAGCTCTAGAAAATTGTAGAATAGTCCTGGAAAATCGAAAAAGTTCGAGAATATTCTAAAAAATTCCAGGAGTGCCTCGAACTCTCTCAAATGTTAGCTTTCTCTATAAAATATTGCAACATTTTCTTCACACTTTCATTGTGATCTAGAACCAAATGCTTAGAAATAGAAATGTATGAGTAATTCAAAATTTCACGAATTCGGAAAAGCCGAGTATTTAAAAAACTCGGAAATGCAGAAATTCGAAAATTAGAGATTTTACGTTAGAAATTCGAGACTTTAGAAAATCAAAAAATTTTATTCTCTTTTCAAGAAACATGTATTCTGTCATGTAGAAACTCGGAAATTCAGAAAATCGGATATCTTTTTTCTCAAAAAAGCGACAAGATTTAACAGAAATTATCAGAAAATTGGAAAAAAAGTACGTCTGTTTTATCAGAGGTAGGCATCAAATAGATGTGGGCTTTTATTGGAGAAATTACGTTATCTAGAAATTCCCATATTAGTAACATCCAAAATTTAAAAATCGAAGTATTTGGAAGTTTCGGGCACTAGGAAAGTGGAAAATCTAGACATTAGAAATTCAAGTGTAAGATACAGTGAACGAAAGCCAGGGGGTTGAGCCCCTGACAGGGGTAGTTCAAACCGACTGGTAGTTCTTATTTCATCAATTTTGGATCCTTCGAGAACTTCGCGCAGATTGGACAATCATTTCAGATCAGAATTAGTTTTGAATCTTCAACACAATTTTGTTAAAAATACTGAAAAACTATTCATTGGTGTAAAAAGTGGAAGAATCGATCAGCTCGCGAGGTCTTTTGAAACAATGGAAAACCGACAAGTTCAAATCACATTTTATCAGTCTGACAATCCGACCGCGTTTGATTATTTCCAATTGATGCAAGGCTGGGTGTCAACAGAAAGACGTGTGAGATTGAACTGAGTAATGCCACAAAACTCAAAGTTACCTACTGCCCTCTTACCAAGGAGAAAGAGTTGCTCAAATTCATTTTCGCAGCTAAAATTATTAAAGCATAAGGTTCGATAATTGATATATTTTTAATTTTCCATATTTTTTTTGAATAAATGGGAATTGAATAGAGTTTGAAGATCATGAAGAGCAATATTTCAATTTTGCTGACTTTGATACCCTGATACTGTAACTCTCTGATAACTATGCTACACATTCCACTTTAAAGGTGGGGGGACAGGAGATTTTTCGTAGTTTTTTTGTAGCTAGAGTATGCATTCTACCGTCACGGTGTACAACGCTTAATGTCACTCTGCGTACAGCTGTCGTCCTCGCCTTTATGTATGCAAACGGGCGTGTGCTGTCTCTTTGCCCGCGTGGCTCAGTCGGTAGCGGCGCCGCACCCTCAATCCTCGCCCTCACAAGTTCAACTCCTCGAGGGGCATCTTTGAACGGAATTTCGAGAAATATATTTTTTTCATGTCCCCCCACCTTTAAGATACACGCTTTTTAAGATACAATAATAGTGCCATACTGAAGAAACCAGGCAATTATACGTTACAAATAATTTCATGCGGCTTCTATAAATTACTTCGGATTTATTTTATTTTTTGTCTATTTCCCTAAAATTTTTTTCCTCATAAAGTAGGAAAACTGCCTAAAATGGGTCAAAGTAAAATAATTCTGTAGTACTGTGTTAAAGGCGCCCCAATTTAATTGTAAAAACCGTACCCGTTTCCTCTCCGGGACCTGCTATGCGCTTTCAAAAAAAAAATTTTGGCCACAAGGTTAATCGGCGCCAGACAAAAATAATAAATATTGGTAGGTCAGTGAATTTTGAGGGATAACGATATACAACAAACGTTGTGATTGAATTTCCGGTTTTTCAAAAATGTTTTTCGAACATTTTCTTGGGTGTTTTTCAAATTACAGCGTTTTATTCAATAAAAATCGATAACTTGAAAACAAAGAACTTTATTGGTTGATGAAATAACTAATAAAACAATTAAACCTAGTTCCGCAGACAGAATTATTTGGCTTTATAATTCTTAATTTTGATGTATCTTCCCATGTAATAACATGGCAAATCTTTGAGGACGTTCTCGAAATTTCCAGATTTAGCCCATCCATTAGTAGTATCGTAAATTCTATAACTCCAGCCCCCGTCTTCGTCGTCTTCATCGTCTTTATTGATTTTCATTGACGCA